TGTTGCTCAGGCTGGTCTCAAACTCCTGGCCTTGGGTGATCTTCTCACCATGGCTTCCCAGAATGCTGGGATTACAGGGCCCTAAATATTTTTAGAATGTTCTGTTTCAGATTCACAAAGTGGGAGTACTCTGATCCACTGGCCAGGGTTGTCATAACTGGCTTTTTCTTTTGTGTTTAAGGGATGAAGATGCCCCTGCTAAGATTCCAGATGAAGAAGCCACAAAACCTGAAGGTTGGTTAGATGATGAGCCTGAATATATACCTGATCCAGATGCAGAGAAGCCAGAGGATTGGTAAGAGTTTCAGATAACTTTTTAAATTGTCTTTTTTTCTTTTATTTATTTATTTATTTCTTCATAGCCATCAGAAGAAGAGAATAAATTATCTTTTTAGTTTTTTTTTTTTTTGTTTTTTGAGTCTCACTCTGTTGCCCGGCCTAGAGTGCTGTGGTGTCAGCCTAGCTCACAGCAAGCTCAAACTCCTGGACTCAAGCAATTCTTCTGCCTCAGCCTCCCAAGTAGCTGGGACTACAGGCATGCGCCACAATGCCTGGCTAATTTTTTCTATATATTTTTAGTTGTCTGGCTAATTTCTTTCTATTTTTAGTAGAGACAGGATCTCGATCTTGCTCAGGCTGGTCTCGAACTCCTGACCTCGAGTGATCCTCCTGCCTCAGCCTCCCAGAGTGCTGGGATTATAGGCATGAGCCACCACTCCTGGCCTGTCTTTTTAAATTGAAGTAAAATTTAATACTTAAATACAGCCAAGTGCCCAAATTTTAGGGTAGAGCTTGATGAATTTAATTACATTTCACCTTTTTTTTTTTTAATGCATCTGTCATGAAAAACTGTTGTTACTGGAAATACAGAAACAAGAGAAGATGGTCTTCCATTGTATGACACTGTGAAAACATTTCAGTAGGATCTCAGGGGAGCATTGGCCAGCGAGCTATTCATAGTCATGTATCACAGAATCCATTTGTAATTTGTTGTTTTTGTATCTCCAAAGGGATGAAGACATGGATGGAGAATGGGAGGCTCCTCAGATTGCCAACCCAAAGTGTGAGTCAGCCCCTGGGTGTGGTGTCTGGCAACGACCTATGATTGACAACCCCAATTATAAGGGCAAATGGAAGCCTCCTATGATGGACAATCCTAACTACCAGGTTTGTGCTTCTTGATGGTTGAGTTGCTTTCATTGATCTGTTTGCATTCAGATAGAAGTTTTGTCTGCAGTGAGGCTGCCAGGATGATTGTTATATTCAAGCTGTTGAATTAAAAGCAGAAAGTGAACATAAATTGAGAGAGAGCTTAATCGGTTAGGTGCTGCAAAGATAAATCTAGAAACTGGAGGGAATAGCTCTTATAATTGCTTTATAACTATGTTTAGAAACAGGAAAGAGAAATGGAAAACTTGTGATTTGGGCACCTTGCTGTCGGGCGGCAGGGTGCTTTAGTCACAAGATCCAAATCTCAGGCTTGGCAATCTGTGTGACGGGGTGGATAAGAGGACTGTGAGAGGAGCTGGTACCCCCAACCACATAAGAACAGCTCACTGCTTAGCTTAATGTCTTCAACTGTAAAAAGTCTGAGGCTCAAGTGAGATGGTAAGGATATACGTAGTGACGTTATGAAGTTTCAGGTCTATTAAATGTACCCCCTTGGACCCTTTCTTTATACTAGTAAAATTATTTATAATCATTAATTTCCACTTTGTCAAACTTTAAGGTATAGGTCTATCTATATGCATATACTAGATGTATGTTTTTCTGTTTTTTAATATATTTTTAATTGTGCAAACAATGAGATAAAATAAAAATTTCACTTAAAAAAATTGCCCTTTAGCTGTTCTCCTGTTGGTGGCCATTTAGGTGGATTGTCAGTTTTCCTTTTAGAGTCAGTGCTGCCGCAATCATCCGTATAGATGCCTGAATGTATGTAGTAAGTATTTGGAGCTCAGAGGAGAGATCTAGGGTAGTTATCTAGAAGTGAATTGCTGGTTGAA